CAAGGATTTTTTTTTTCCTTTAAGGCAGGCAGACTTAAATGGACAGTAAGTATCAATTTGTGGCGATTAACTCCTTGGGGATAGAGTATAACAGGAACTTCCGATGGGAGCATGCCTCGCCTAGTTTCTCTGCGGTTCTTCCTGTACAACTGATGTCTTAGATTTTGCCTCTGCTCCAAGAATTACGTGTATTGATTTACCACGTTAGAATTGCTACTCTGAAGAAACAAGTGATTCGTCTCTTTGGATTCCTCTCCTGAGTTGGTTAAAAGATGGGTGGCGTTGTGTTTTAAATACTTTTTTTTTAAATAAAATATTAAAATGTTTATACCTTATCCTTGAACTACTCTAACTCGTTCCTGCAAGGCTTTTCAGTGCAAATAGACTTAAGCGGTTACATAAAAATCTTTCGCTTAAGACTCTGCTGGGCTGCTTCCTAGTTAAAGAGGAAGAACGGATTACTTCGCCGCCTCAGCTATGCGATTTTTTTCCTCTCTTCCACCCACCAAAAATCTCCTGTTTCCCATAGCAAACGGAGGGTCATCGGTCTCAGCCAATCACTGATTATGAGCTCACAGATGGACGTGGAGGTTGGCCCAATGGCAACCGCGTAATCAGTTCATTATACTAAATACATGTAAGGCCAGCTTTCCCCATCCAGCCCTGAGAGTGAGATGTGATATAAAAGCAGCGGGGCGGCCCCTTCCTCTTCCATTCTGTTACTTACATCGACTCTTAGCTTGTCGGGAGAAGTAACATCCAAGGCTTCCATTTAATTCCCCCCTTCTCCTGTTTCTTGCCATTCCTTCGTCAGCATCATGGTAAGCGGTAGCGGAGGAGGAGGGGAGAGATGGGTCGGGAGCGAATCATCCAAGAGAACTGAGCTGATCCAAGAGAACCTGGGGTGGGGGTGGGGGTGGGGGTGGGGGGAGACTGCGAGGGATGGGGCGGGTTGCGGGGGAGGAGGCGAAAAACGCGGAGGCTGGGCGGGAATTCTCGGAAAGTCAGGAAAAAAAATCAGGGGAGGGAGGGGGAGATGCACTTATTAGCTTTCCCCAGCCACGCGCCCTCCAGATGGATAGAAGCTGCAAAGCACTAAAAGGAGGGAGAGGGAGGGAGGAAAGACCATAGATGGTTAATTCCTAGAAAGGGGTTCTGGTTCGGCTGTCCCGAGCGGATCGGAGAAGTGACGTAGCCTTGGAAGGCAATCCTTGGAAAGGCACCCAGGGAAACGGGCGGAGAGGAGAGAACGATCTGGAAGGCGGTTCTGCTTGCGCTGGCCACGGCTTGAAATCGAAGGGCGGGAACGTGGGTCAGTCGCATTCCGAGGACTGCGGGGGTTGGGGGCGGAGTACGCGGGAAATGTTCTGGAACAGCCTTCCCTGCTCCGGGGTCCTCCGGATGCGCAACTACCTGGGTTTTTCTTTTAAAGGTACAGTAGGGCCAGGCGTCTGGAGGACGCCAATTGGATTACGCCAATTGGATTACGCTGTCCTGGAAAATGGGCGGGAGGCTCCCCCCGGGTTGGTTGTCATGAAAGAAACGACCCAGAGGTTGCGCGGGGGGGCGGGGGAGATCGTTAGGAAAAACTGGTCGCCTTTAGCCTTACGCCCATCATCCCGTTAGTCACGATACTCGCGCAGAGTGATTCATTGTTTCTGGCTGCAAGTCCTGAAATGGACTACTAGGACTTCATAACGTCCCGCCTGTGTTGAAGAGCGCGCGAAAAAGCCCTCAGGTTTTTTTTAAGGATTGATTTGAATCCAGTCCTAACTAGTCTAACCCTAATAACTAGATCACTACATCGCCCTGGGCTGACGTAAAGCCGGCCAGCTGCGAAATGTTTCACTCGAAGGGAGAGATGGCCGTTTCCCTTCGCGGCAGAAAGCGGCGGTTTCCCTCGGCCCCTCCCCCGACGGCCGTTACACTTTCCCGCGCTGGATGCCTTGAGGTGAAAGAGCGGCGTGCGCATGCGCGCCCCTTCGAGATGGGCGCTGAAGCTGCTCTGGTGGAGCTGCGCGAGCGCTTTCAGTTACTTGAACAACTGCTCGGCTCGCCAAATGCGACTCGGATCATGAATCGGTTTTCCAAACGAGAAGCGTATCCAACCTCCTAACTCAGTGGGGACATTACAAGTTCTAGAAGCCTCACAGGAGGCTAGGCAGGGTTGTGGGAAGCGGTCATCTGAATCAATAGCTAGAGGTTGGGCGGGTGCCTGGGCCCCACAGTTTAATGGAAGGGATATGAGGTCAAATAACCTGGCCCTGTGGCACGAAGGGTTTTATGAGTGACTGAATTGAAGGGACTTGAAGTTTGTGAAATAGTGATATGGTATGGACACATCATGGTATCCCCATCATAATTTGTGCTGCTGCATTCTGGCTTAGTTGTTCGTTAAAAGTGTGTAAAATACCTTGCAATTATTCAAGTGAGGTGGCCAGGGCATGGATCACTAGAGTCTCTCTTTGAAGAAAAAAAAAGATACCAGGTGCAATTGGCATGCAAGGTGAGCCCATTCAAAGAATCTTTTTGTCATAACTGGTACTTGCTCTTAAGGCAGAAACCATGAGTATAGGAGGATTCTCAGATTGCACCCAATTCTGTCTTGGGGAATGCTATCCCTTTGGGAGCTAAAAATAGAACATCTACAAATCTAGCAGGTTCCAAAGCCCTTAATCTCCAGACTTTGAAGGCATCACTTGGTTGGCCACCTTAATACTATATTTAATATCCCTCCCGATACTGTCTGGAACTAACCTAGGATGAAAGAGGAAAACCATTGTAACATGGTCCCTTCTATTCCTAACCTCCTCCCTCCCCCCCCCCCCCAAATTTGTGCTGAGAACCAGGGTGGATAGACTACCCACAGATAGTAATGTCACATATCATCTGCAACTGTCATTAATGTCATCTCAGTGCTTTATTCCAATCTGAAAGTTGACTCAAAAGGATCTAGATAATCCATTCTTTCCACTGGACCTTATGGAGCTGCAAATTTGACCACCTTTCCTAAAAAGGGGAAGTTTAGTGATATGACAAAAATGGTCTAGAAACATTAGATCCAGGGGACAGACACACTATCTCTTAAGAGGTACCAGAACCATACTATTCCTTAAGGGCATATTTCATGCAACACACATCTTCCAATAGGCCTTTAGCCACTTAGGAGGGACACAGATATTTGAAGAGTGCTTATTTTCCCATGACCAACAGTCTCAACTCAGATAACTAGTGTAACCCAATCATCTCCAAAGGATGTAAATAGCCAAAAGTCCATTTCAGATCAGGTTCAAGCAATTTTGTCCCACAGATCCCTCAAATAGCCTTCACAGCAGTTCTGCAGATGTACTCCAGACCAAATCCTACCTAAGAGGGACTGGGTTACTTGAGTAGAACTGCTGGCTGTCTATCTGCAGATGCAATAAGAGGGAAGATATAATATTTTACCACACAATAATCATTAATAATAACTCTTCTTGATTTGCTCTTCATTTTTCCCCAGAGGTGCTCTAGGTTATCTGCTTTATCCTTGAAAACCAGGGAATCCTCCCTGCAGAGGGGAGTGGCTGCATTAAGCAGCTCTGCAGTGCAGTGGGAAAGCTGATACAGTAGCAGTAATCCACTGACACTTAAATTTATCAACAAGACTTGTCTTTCAACTACAACCCTTTTTTGAGGTTATATTCATACTGTATATGTATCTATGCTGTTTGTTTAACTGGGATTTACTCTACCTATTTTTTAAATTGATAGGTCACACTGAATCATAAACCAGAAATCTGGAATACAAAAATCAAGATAATCACTAGATGATAAAAAAAATCTAATGCAGCCTGGATTTTTACTCTTGGAATGTGGTATCTCTGTCAAAACTAACCATTGACTGATAAGCTAACTAGCTATGGTTGGCTAATTTGTAGCTTAAAGTTCCTTGAATCCATTTCTACTCTGATATATCGTAAAATACATATGTACATATGGTTAAACTGTTTTCAATTCTTCAGGATCTAGATCTCATCCCTCTTAAAATCTTCCCTGCATTTTGTAATTGATTATCCTTTAGAATTTAAATGTACAAGTTTGCTTTGCATATTGTCTCCAAATTGAACATATGTATTATGTATTTGCAGAGGTGCACTAATTTTAAACTACATAATTATTTCATACAAATGCTGCAGATTGTATCAGACTTCTTGCAGATACAAGTATGTGCATTTGAGTGCATAAATTCATAGTATCCTGGAGATGCCTGCAGATCTAACACAAAAATCATGTTTTCATAGTGCATCCCTGTAGAAAAGTGCACACAGAAGTCAGTATAAATAATGAAATGTGTGCATGTTTCAAGTACATGGCTGAAACAACTGTTAGTAAGAATAAGAATTTAGTACAGTTCTCAGATTTGAACAGCTTATCTGCCTCTTTAGAAGGCAGTCTCCTGTCATTTAAAAGGCTTAATTGCCAGACATCTTTGTGCCATCTGTTGAGTGTAAGATTCTTAACAAGGTCTTCAAGGAATGTGTTACAACAGGTGGTGCTCAGCAGGTTGAGCTGGGTCTGTGTAATGAACACAAACTCATGAAGGGAGTGCAGGAGGATGGGCATGTGCCAGGAATTTAAAGCAAGGCCTTAGATAAATCGAGCAACAGGCTGTAAGCAGATGTTCCACAGAGGAAATCAATGCTAGGGGGAAAATGTGCTTGGCCTGCTTCCTCTGTAGACGTGGGAGGCTGACTGCGTCCTTTTTGCTTTCTGGCTTGCAAGAAATGCAACTATGGTACAGGGAGTGGCAGCAGGGAGTAGCTCATTCATGAAGTTTTTAGAGACTACAGAATTCCTATCAGACTAAGTCTTAGATATTAAATTTTATCGTACTTGGAAATAAAAACTAAAGAGTGCATTTCTTTAGTGTTGAAAACTGAAATAACAGTTTTAGTGGGTTTCTAAACTGGAACATAAAATGTCCTCTGTTACATATTAATAATGTGTGTCTAGTCTAATACATTTATCAGTTTTATTTGAAAAAGTTTGAATGCTGAAGGTCTTTGTTTATGGCTTCTTTGGAACAACCTGGCTTAGATAGTCTTGTGCCATGGTCCTTGGCTTGTCATTGGTAGTTTTTTGTTTTTTAACTTCAAACATGATATGAAGACATGCCAGACATGAAACAGAAAAACAAAGACAGGATAATGCAGAATTAAGTTGGCAGTGGTTTGTTTGTTTTTTTGTCACCATAATGGAGGCTAGGTTCTCTTTATAAGCTGCTGAGAATTGCCTCGAACTACAATATAGGCAGCATATAAATTTAATAAAATAAAATTTTAATAGGTAAATAGAAGAGGCTCAATAACAGACGTGGCAATATTTAAGAATCAAAAGATCTTGACATTTCCAAGAAAAATAAATCTGTTTTTATCCTTAATTTTTGATTTGTTTTTTATACTATAGCTGGTCTTAAATTTTTTGTGAGAGCTTCCACAAAATGCTTCTTCCCATTAGATTTTCACATGCAATATCTGTTTATAACAATTTCCTTTTCAATAGAGATCTAATTTACATACAGTTATGTTTTATAAAGGATAACCCTCTTAATGCAGACCAAAAGCTCATTAAGTCTAACATCTGGTTTGCTGCAGTGGCTAATCAGATTTCCTGAAAGCCCTCAGCCAAGAATGATAATCTCTTCTTGGAAATTGACTGGCATGTAGTCTGGAGGTCTGCACTGACAGTTTTAAAGTTCAATATTTAATCTAGGCATGGGCTGATGTGAGTGAGAAAGGTAGAATGAAAGAGAATTTATCAAATTTTTATACCACCCATCTCACCTAAGTGAGAAATATGCAGCTTTACTGTTTCTCTATCCTTGCTACAGCGTGAGTGCATCTCCATCCATGTTGGCCAAGCCGGTGTCCAGATTGGCAATGCCTGCTGGGAGCTCTACTGCCTTGAACATGGTATCCAGCCAGATGGACAGATGCCCAGCGATAAGACCATTGGGGGAGGAGATGACTCCTTCAACACCTTCTTCAGTGAGACTGGAGCTGGCAAACACGTCCCCAGGGCTGTATTTGTGGATTTGGAGCCAACAGTGATTGGTAAGACAATTCATGTATGTTTTCTCATGCATACATATTTTTTATTAAAAGAATATAGAGGTCTTAATTTGGGGCATTTATTTTCCAAATAGATGAAGTGCGCACTGGAACATACCGCCAGCTATTCCACCCTGAGCAACTAATCACTGGCAAAGAAGATGCTGCTAACAACTATGCCAGGGGACATTACACCATTGGCAAAGAGATCATTGACTTGGTCCTTGACAGGATTAGAAAACTGGTAAATAACTTACATATTTGCATAAGTGAACATTTGGAATAATCTTGATAGAAGAAAAAGAACTTTTGAGTAGTTAGCATCTGATATTCTGGAAATAGACATTCTTTTAGGTTTATGTTATCTCAGCTTGAGTTATCTCAAGATGAGATTTTTTTAAAAAAGTTTAATTTAGTTTATTTGATTTATATAATTTGATGCCATTCTTTCTAAGTGGCAGTTAAACATAAATATGTTGCAACTGTGGTATAGTGGACTTGGGCTAAATATTTCACTTCTTGGCTTTGAAAGCTATTAATTGAATTGAAGAAATTTGACTCACCATAATCTTACAACACATTGCTGCTTTCTGGTCACCTTGGACAGTGAACAATATTAAAATACAATTATAACTACAATTATAAAAATTAAAATAGGTAGTCAAGCAAAGTATCACATTCAGGACTGAGCACAGCAATAGGACTTTAGGGCCTGCCAAAAGACCTGTGGGGTCAGGACCATCCTCCAGAGAGAATATTCCATAGGGTAAGTGCTATGATAAAGAGCTCACCTTCTGGATCCTGCAAACTGGGATCCCTTAGCTGATGGGACCTAGAGCATGCCCATTCTGCTGGACCAGACAGGACTGGTAGAAATCCTTTTTATCCTTTCCTAGGACCATAACCTTTTTTTCTTGAAGATAGGAGTTGATTACACATGAACAAAATTCAAAACAGCCCTGTTTGATATTGGCTTAGAATTTGCTTTCATAACTTTATCTATATTAATTACCTAGTCTCTTTACTAGTATGATTAACTGTTTCTTGTATGCTTTAATATTGGGCTATTATTTATAGCACCATTTTGTTGGTGCTTACCCCCTGAGCAGAATCTTGATGGATTGGAATAATTAAAGTGGCAGCAGACTGGAAATTTACAAGCTTAATTTTGGTGGCAAGAATAGCATAAGCAGAGAGACAAAATGTAATACATATCTGTTCCTAACAACACTGATGCAAAGGGAGAAATGTACATTGAGGTCTCGTTGCATGCAAATACATGTATGATGCAGTTGCATCATGGTGCATGTGTCTTTCCTTCCCTGATCCATACAGTCTATGAAACTGAAAAATGCCCGGTTATTGCAAGCAGGTAAGGACAGAAATAACCTCCGTGACCTAGAAAAAACCATTCCACGAGGAATAATGACAGAAATATTGTTTTTGTAAGCTAAAAACTTAGGAAGTATCACATTTTGCACTGTAAGTAGTAACACTACTTTCAGTCCCTTAATTAGGCCTTGTTAATAACTTTATACTTTAAAATAATAATCTTAAAACAGGCATGTTTCTGTTGATTTAATGTATTCAAAGAGAGAGAAAATTCCTGAAATTACTGCATGAAATCTCTTTGTTTTTTTCCCCAACAGGCTGACCAGTGCACAGGTCTCCAGGGTTTTCTGGTCTTCCACAGCTTTGGTGGTGGCACTGGCTCTGGCTTTACATCCTTGCTGATGGAGCGCCTGTCCGTAGACTATGGCAAGAAGTCCAAGCTGGAGTTCTCCATCTACCCTGCTCCCCAAGTATCCACAGCTGTCGTTGAGCCCTACAACTCCATCCTGACTACCCACACCACCCTGGAGCACTCCGACTGTGCCTTCATGGTAGACAATGAAGCCATCTATGACATTTGCCGACGAAACCTTGACATTGAGCGCCCCACCTACACCAACCTCAACCGCCTTATCAGCCAGATCGTGTCGTCCATCACAGCTTCCCTGCGATTTGATGGTGCCCTGAATGTAGATCTGACAGAATTCCAGACCAACTTGGTGCCCTACCCTAGAATCCATTTCCCTCTGGCGACCTATGCTCCGGTCATCTCTGCTGAAAAAGCCTACCATGAGCAGCTTTCTGTAGCAGAGATCACTAATGCATGCTTTGAGCCAGCTAATCAGATGGTGAAATGTGACCCCCGTCACGGTAAATATATGGCCTGTTGCCTGTTGTACCGTGGTGATGTTGTTCCCAAAGATGTCAATGCTGCTATTGCAACCATCAAGACCAAACGCAGCATCCAGTTTGTAGACTGGTGCCCCACTGGTTTTAAGGTTGGTATCAACTACCAGCCCCCAACCGTGGTCCCTGGAGGTGACCTGGCCAAAGTGCAGCGCGCAGTCTGCATGCTGAGCAACACCACAGCCATTGCTGAGGCCTGGGCCCGCCTGGACCATAAGTTTGATCTGATGTATGCCAAGCGTGCCTTTGTCCACTGGTACGTTGGGGAAGGGATGGAAGAAGGGGAGTTCTCAGAGGCTCGGGAAGACATGGCTGCTCTGGAGAAGGATTATGAGGAAGTGGGTGTGGATTCTGTTGAAGGAGAGGGTGAAGAGGAAGGAGAGGAATACTAGATCTGCTTTGCCACATCTCTGCTGCATGGCTCGTCTCCATGATGTTTCATTTAACACACTTAGCTTACTAGTTACCTGGGGCAGTGATACTACAAAGGAATGCAGCAGACACTAGGATGTCTTGCCATTCCACCATGTGATCATGTCAATTTTCCATGTCTTTTAAACGTATCATGTCTGTGAAATAAAAAGCTATAAAACATTTTGAGTAGGTGCCATTCAATACATTCTTTTAACAAATGTTTCGAGTGTTAAGATTTTCTGCAACATAAATATAAAATCTATTTTAGGCAATTAACTTGGGTGTACTACCTACCTTGGCTAATTCACAAAATCAGCCATACAAGTTAAGTTATAGGCGTTAAAGTTTCTTGGTGTTATTAACCTGTAAAATAACTAGGCAAAAATTTTATACAGATAATTTCTTTTGATTTTAGGTTCTAAATTGGTATACATGTGCATGGTCTCTGATTAAATCTTTCCTATATTGAAAGAAATTGGTAAATTCCAACAATCGTCCATCAATTATTTCACTATACTATGGCTGAAGAGGATAGTCTATAATCTGTCAACACAAGGGACAAATTCAAGATATTGGGGTATACATTACTTTTGTAACAAAGCATTTTACTCACTTTAAAAATTGGTCAGAACTGACCTCCAGTTGGCTTTTATTAAGCCTGACCTATTGAACTAATTTTTGAGATTTCATGGTTTGAGTACTTCCTTTTGATCATGTCTTCAATTTTGCTTATATCTGCCCAAGACGGCAAAATGTTTGAGATTATCTAGCATGACACAATTTTATTTATCTGGAAATGCTATGCTCTGCAATTGACTGATACATAACACCAACAAGCAAATTGAATTACAAGCCTACTTTTAGTAATCCCACATATCCAAAGAGGCTGGGTTTGATTTGGGTATCAGCCATAATGGCATCTTGATTGCTGGGATCTCTACAGAGCCCATCAGTTCTGACATATTTTCCACTTTGAACTGCAGCAAACTAACCAACACAGCATTTAAACTGGGAATGGTGGCAATTTTAATTTACATAAAAGCTCCAATGCTTAAGATTTGTAGAAAGTTAGTGTCAAAATGCTTACTAATCTTAAAATATAGCTTCCGATGAATTACAACACTTCTATGTTTTGTAAAATCTACTATCCCAAATAACACTTTTTGGTCTTATATTTATTATGAATGTTACTTATTTTTAATTAAGTATATATTGGATTGCAATCTCAAAAAAGATTTTGTTGGCTTGGAAGCATAATGGATACATAAAGAAAAAAAGTGAAATTTGATAACTAAATCAAGTTTCAAGATTTTACTAAATGATCATATGGCTAAATTTCTATTTGCCTTTAAATATTATCCTGTATTATTTCCTTTTTACAAGCCCCA